ATCTTATATCCATCAATCACTTTCAAAGAACCTGGGTTTCACTAAATTGGGCATGCCCTCTTTTCCAGTTTAGGCAGATGAATGGCTTCCCATCTAGATTACTACTGGATTACAATGGCAAATAAGCACAATACTATATGATGTTTCCTGCACTTGATATAATTCTATTTGTCCTCCTTGTAATTAAGGAACAAGCAAAATCAGAGAGGTATATTAGGATTGACTTTTCCCCCCACTAAATTATTGTGATCTTACATGTGATACAATGCACCCTCAACAACACAATGAATGTGCTTTATATATATTTCACCATTATGATGATATTTTAGTGAATGATGCCAGCTTTGGATTATTTTCCGTGAACATTTTCTTTTTTATTTCAACTGTTGTCATTATTATTGTTCCAATATTATTGGTACACAATGGATACAATGAATTATTTAATCAGAATGCATCCTATTGTTGTCTCAAGCTAGTAAGGCAATAATAAATAACCACAGCAAAAGCCTTTCACTTAAATAACTTCTTTTCATGTATCCTTATTTGTTAATCTATCAAATATTTTAAGAATTTGAACTAACAAAAAACTAGCTTTCCCATACCCTGGGATGTTCCAGAATCATCATCTCTTTCACAAACATTAAATAACTGACATATTCTATTCTAGAAAAACAGACTGCATATTTTTAAATTAGTGTCTTTCAAATTATGTTCTAAAGTATTCTGGGATTGTCTGGAAATTTGTCAGGGACCTATCAGTGAGATTCTTCACAACACCAGATAAACACAGACGGAATAGAGCTTTCCCACAGTTACTGATCTAGATTATAGTATACATCTGTAAAAGAGTGTATACTAATTCCAGAATGTGCTACAGAAACTTGTTTGAGCATTTTAATAAAATGTAGGAGTAGTTCCTTAAATCCAAAAGATTTCCAGCAAAAAAAACCATTTAAAAGGGGCGTTGTCTTACCTGAACACCTTTTCTCAGCACGGAGATGGAGACTCCACCATTGGGTAGTAGACTGTATTCCTGCCCAATCAGATCAAGTCAGCCAAAGTTGCCACGCCCGTCCTGGACCGTGATCTCCAGTCTTTGACGCGAGCGTAGCCATGTGACTGACAGCAAGACATTGTGGCTCACCAAACTAACTGACCCTATGCTTATACAAAAATACAAGGGAGGGAGGTGGAGTCTCCATCTCCGTGCTGAGAAAAGGCGTTCAGGTAAGACAACGCCCCTTCTCCAGCACTGAGATGGAGACTCCACCATTGGGACATACCAAAGCCTACTGTCCCTGAGGGTGGGTAGTAGACTGGTCCCGAGTGGCA